GAATTCAAAGTGTGCATGTTCACTTTAAAGTAGGAGAAATTATAAAACACCGTACGTCCTGTCAGTTTTGCTTACCATGTCCAAGAGATACTCACTCTCATGGTTAAATTTGTATCCTGCATTTTTCTTCCCACTAACAATTTCGAGTATAACCACCCCAAAACTGTAAACATCAACTTTGCTTGTTACAAATCCTTGAATTGCATACTCAGGTGCCATATGTCCGCTGCATCAACAACAATAAAGCATAAATTCATTTTCATAATGCACCCGTCATAGTATAAGTTGAATTTCATGGTATTATTTTATACAGTGTTTGTACACTTACTTTGGTGCTTCCACTTTGATGATCATAAGTTGTTCTTCCTCGGTATACAGGCTTGCCATTCCAAAGTCTGAGATCTTAGCATTAAGAGCTCCATCAAGGAGGATATTTTCAGCTTTGATATCCCTATGAACCATCTTGAGTCTAGGGTGCTCATGAAGATGATCTAAACCCCTTGCTATTCCCAGGCAAATGTTAAATCTAGTTTCCCAATTAAACTTCAATCTGGAGTTCGAGCCTGCAAGTCACATGAATGATGACCACTTTAGCATTCTATGCATATATTCCTCATGTTTAGTCTAAACCATAAACGACTTTGTTTTTGTCATAAACACTGTATCGACACAGAAAACACTAGTCACTACAACAGAAAAGCCCTTTCATGACATTTAATGATGCAGGTGTAACACCCCGACCCTAATTAAATTATCCATTCAATTATTTAATTAAATTTAAATATGAATTTACAATTTTGCCCTCGGGGTAGGGGTAATTTGGTAACTTTTTAATCCATAAGATTTGGGGGGAATGAGTGGCGCTTTTACGTATATCGTACAGAGATGAGTCCATAGACACATAGTGGGCTCAAATCGGAGTTGTAACGAGAAAGATACGATCAAAACACACGTAGTGGCAAAATTGTAATTTTTTCAAATGTGGGTTTTTAAAACAAAACAGATCTCTCTCTCTCTCTCTCTCTCTCCTGTCGCGCATAGACCCCCCCCCCTCTCGTTTTTGTCCACCCGGTGGCTCCAAGAGCCGCCA